TATTTATTACGAGTAATAACATTCCATTTGATACGTCTGGCTACTTATCTAATGAATTGATGCACTACATATATGGAGCACAACTTACAATGAAAATTTTGATTTTAATAGGCAGCTCTCAACATATATGATGAATGGAATGTTTAATTACTCGGTTATGTAGCTTGTGTATTCTTCATTTAGGTTTCCACTATGTCCATGTATATTGGTGTTTTAACAAAATTCATAGGATACTTTTATTTATTTTTTTTCATTATAATATACGAACACTATACAATTTATCGCACTTGTTTCGTAGTTTTTCGAAATTCCTTTCTACTAAAAATTTTCCTTCGAACATTGTCTCTAATTTTGTTGGGAAATATATGTTATCGGACATTTATAGTTCACTAATCATGCAAAATATTGATTTCAGCTCATCATAATTAAACACATACTTGATACAAGGAAAAAATCGTTATTGTTGCAGTGTCTCAAAGTCCAGCAAAAAAAGACAAACAAGGTAAATTGATTTACATGTGGTTTTCTAGTTAATTTTGGTGAATTCTCATGGTCTAGATCGGTGACTTCCACATGTGGTGGTGGCAGATGGATCTGATCATCACCGTCATCGTCAGTGTCATCGTCTTTGTCTTCCTCCCATATTGGGTCGCCAACTGAAGCACAGGCTCGCCCTCCAAGTCGATCGCCGTTGCAATGCACTCGATAAAAACCTCGTAACACTCATTATATCAAGAGAATCCATACCAACAGAAAAATGTTTGAGCGTTGCTCTCCTCCTGTGTATTAAATTTGAAACTCTTTAGGGTTATGATCGCATTGCAAAATGCATGAACAAACTAAAATATAAAATCATTTTACCTCGTCCAAATACAACCAATACATGTGGTTAATTACATAATACGCGAAAGTTTCACATACTTGTGAAGTATGCGTTCGATTTGGACATGCGAGTCGTAAAATATGCAAAAACATATAGCCCAATCATAAATATGCAACTACCAATTTAAATATGCAATAACTATATATGCGACATAATTTTGCATATAAAAATTATGCAGTGAATTTGAATGTGCAATTAAAAAATAAGCAAATGTATTTCATTAATTGTCAACTATGCATCTAATTCAAATATAAGTATATATACGACAAAATCTCACATAATTATTAATTATATGGTTCATTTGTATATGCGATTTTTATACAGCATATAACTTCGTGAGTCGTGAGGTGAAAAATATATTTTTTGATGAAACAATGTGTAAAAGAAAGTACATGTATATATGTCTGGTAGGGCTAAAAGGGATTCTTTACTAAGCCCCTTCCCTACCACTAGTGAGGTCATAACCAGCTTAGTGAGTTGAAACCAATTTAATTTTTCCACAATCTTGGAAGAATATTTCAAATTAGACAGAATCAGAAACAGCCAATATCAATCTCTGCCATGAAAAACTGTTGGACTCTGTCGAGGAAGTTCACAGGAAATCTAGAGTGCAGCATGAGGGTGGAAGTTTCAGGTGCAGATTGGGCAGCGTTAGGGCCCACATGCATTTCCTCACTAGTCTTCGCCACCTTCAGGTTTCTCGACTTGAGAGCTCGGATACTACCGCCAGCTTGGGCGAGCCCACCTCTGATGGGAACAGCACGACTGCTTCTCGAATTGTTCCGATTAGATCTCTGAGTTGGGTCCGACCGAGCTTTTCTCTCCGGTCCTGCCTGATTCGACTCACAAGAAAATTCCACCGGAAGACTACTTTTGCACGATTTGAGAGACGGGAGGAGCATATCCATGCTCAGCTCCTGCTGAATAACGGCCTTGTTCTGTGGGCATCCGTAGGAAGCAGCAACTAATGTGCCCGCCAATACAGGCATCAATTCTGGATCACTGAAGAATGCGAAAGGCAAATCGCACACCTGTTTTTTTCTCTTTCAGAATCATATTTGAGCCAAAAAAGAAGATAAAATGAATCAAAACACAAGTTTATGATTTACACCTTGTGAAGAATGGTGGGGCTCTTTCCCCAGCGAAGAACAGCTTGGTTCTCACGATGGAATAGCGCAAAATACCCGAGAAGGGACAGCGACTCCAGCAACAACATGCCGATCTGAGAAAATGCAGGAAATTTAGACTTCAAAACAGAAATGACATAATGAGATTTTTCGTCGAACTTCTAATGCTCATACTGGGAGCATTCACAATGACATGTTGAATACTTGGACGTGCATATATGAAAGTTATACAGATGCACAAGCGCATTATTATAAAATATATATAAATAAAAGGAAATGGATTGAACGAGAACTAATTCTTGTTGTGAATATTACGATGCTACTTAAGATAGTAGCAGGATCAGAGAATAGTTGAAGAGGTAGTAGCAGTTCCATAAATATAAAAATAGCACTTAGAATTGCACAATACGTAGCTCTCACGCCAGGAAAGGTTCTTGTCTGTATCATATAACTAATAATAATAGCTAATAAATCTGGATTCTTACCATTTCAAGAAGAACCAAGTTAGCTAGTTGGTATGCATTTTTCACTTACAACCTTATTGATCATGGATTCAAGACATCTCAACAAGGGATATTGCTATTTGTTTCTGTACCATGCAACTATCCCAGACATAAACCATGCATACATGACAGTGGACAAGAACCAAAGCCCGGGAAAACCATCCACGTGAAAATTCAAGGACCACACATGACAGTGAACTTTGACAAATAATACACAGTACAAGGTAGCGCAGTTAAAGTTGGGTCCAAAATTACTAAGATGAACGTCAGTCAAAAGGCTGAAACTACTGGTTTGAGACCTTACAATAGCACATAAAATGCATGAATCTGGCGAGATGTTCTCCATATAGTGTTAGGAGTGAAGGATCAAAGAAATAATTCACCACTGGAAATTCCCAGCAAGATATCTTGCCCAAATACCTTGTCTGAACTTCATCACTCCCATTTATATAAGTATCTATAATATAAGGTATAGAGATAATAATAGACAGGATAAAATATGATAGCTTTCTGTGCTCATTCATCCAAGATCCCATGATTTCATCTAATTCCATGATTCGGGTTCCCAGTATCATATCATTGATTTTATTCCTTTCACTTCCCCTTTATTTGACAAGTGCAGGTTTACCTTATAATAATGGGCAACCGATACTAAGAAAGATAAGTCTATGGTTACCTTATCAGTGGCTACTCCCCAGTTGCTGATGCAATGAGATAGGATAAAACCCATCAGGTGAAAGAACTCCATCTTGAGGTCTGGCTGAGCCTGTAATTGATATAGAGAAAGAAAATAATAAGTTTCTATTCAAAATAAATAAATACAACAAAAAATCTAAAGTTGCGAACAAGTTCCCAGGATGTGGGTGAACTAAAAAGTGGCCCCTTACCAGCATTTTCTGGATAAAAGTCATGTCCACTAGAGCTAGATTGTTCAGTACCTTCAGAACTCCAGTTGCTACTTCCTCGAAATTAGATGGCAGGACATATGAGTTCTGAGAGATATGGTTCAACAGAATTTATTTATGCCAAATAGATGGGAAAACATAAGGTCATATGTCATAATGTCATAAGATCATATAATGACAATTAAAAATAAACATAGCCTGCCAGAGTAAATGTCAGTGAGTATTTATATAGGAAGATTGGTGATGACATTTTCTGTACCAGCTCAATACTATCCAGCATGCAACGTCATCTAAAATTGTATATGCATAATGTTAAAATAATAAGATATTACGGGATAATACCGATACAGATGTAACGTGGTTCAGTCATTTGGCTTACAATCACAGATAAGATCGCCGAAGGTCTAAAACAGTTCCATTTATTGCCCAAAGTCACAACAGTTTCATTTCTTTATAAATTCATCATTATGACATAGCTGGTGTACGTAGATGTAAATTATAGCAATGAGCTAAATGGATTAACTGAAGATGTCATGTATCAATTATGTTTACATAAGATTATAAATTTGCAGTTTCATGAATGGCATATGACAAATAATCAACTAATATTGTCACTGTTGTTTCTCAACATATCCCAGTCAACTCAGAGTGCAGAGAGAGGACCCATAGAACTCTCGTTCATATATGGAACAACCAAAACATTCAGTGGAGCTTCATATATAGGTGCTACGGAGCCAAAGGCCCAGGTTCACTATATTGGGTACAATATGCAAAACCAGAAAATTGTTGATGGATTCTAAAGGGTGAACAACATGCTGCCTCAGTTCTATGTGTGATCAGATATCTGCCAACTGAAGTATTCACCAAAGTGAAAAGAAAGGAGCAAGAAAGCATTCCACTATATACAGCACATACTAGAAGCTGAATGTATTCACTTAACGAGAAAACAAAATACACCCGGAGGATGCAGCAAAATAAGCTCATGATTATTATCAGATACTAGAGGTATGAACCGCAAAGCAACTTGTTTGAACGTAATTTACACCAATATGAGTTGCATTGGTGACACAAGACAATATCACATCAAAGGAAAACATAATTACAAACACATAGTAAACTAAGAGATGAAACAATAAAGCACAGCGTGACATGAAACACGCAAGAAAGCACGGAAGTGTGAATTTGAATATACTTAGTTGTTAAATTTATGACCAAATCATCAAATAAGATAAATAAAACAGAAGCATGCACATGATGTCACGAATCACCACCCCTACACGTTAAAAGAACCAGAAAAGAGATACTAGTGCTCAACAGGCTAATAAGCGTGCAAAATGCAATATAGGCATAACCTGTTCAGCAGACAGCCGGTTATTAGCCTGCAACAGTACAGCAGTTAACATGGAAGGAAGGCAGACTAAGCCAGTCTCCGATATCGCTGAAAGAAGAAATGTTGCAGGGTGCTTCAAATTGGAGCCATTTCCATTGTTTTGTTCTAGGCTATTGCCTGCAGAGTTACTTCTACCCTTCTGAGTAACAGCGCACTCATGTTTATCTTCTGTTGTAACTCTAAGAGACCCATCCATGAGATCTACTTTCGGGACTTTAGAAGCACTTAGCTCAACCTCATGAGAGTTATCAGAAATAAGATTCACACTACTAGTTCCTTTATTATTAGGAAGCTCTCTTAGTGGAATACCCTCAGGTACATCTGGCAAATCTCTTGTTAAGGGACCAGTTGGCAGAATAAGCCTGCCATCTACACTAGATTCACTACAAGCTAAAAAACCAGGAGGTTCTGTCTTCTGCACAAGTTCACTTCCTAGCATATCATCAGTAGTAAAAGAATCCCAATCTATAAAAGATGATTCTCTGAATTTGGATGTCAAAACTGTCAACAAGTTAATGCCCAGGAGAATAGAGGAAGGAAATGGCGAACCTTCCACCTGTGGTCTATCATAAAGTGCAAAAAGGTCTCGGAGCCTGTGAATAATTTGGTATGCAATAACAAGCTCCACCAATCCATCCTGCATCTGTAGTTGGTACTCATTCTGGCTTACATGGCCAATAATTGCTGCAACAGTCCACAAATAACCATCCACGATTTCAGAAATCGACTCAAAATTTCCAGTTGAGGTTTTACTCGAGATAAAATCAGTTGGACCAGGTAAATTTAATGATGCCGCCATCTTGATATAGTTCTCGAGGGCTGTTGCTAACATTGGGATAACTGGTGGCAAGAGATTCTGTACAAGAAAATAACACTTGTTTGCTGATGTTGCCAGAACAATCTTCAAAAGTCTTAAAAGGTATATAGTAACTTGGCAGGCTTCAGGTTTAGATGTGTGAGACGCAGGCAGGGCAGAAGCAATAAAATCAAGAAGACCAGCTTGGCGAGCAGCCTGCAACTCAGCATCCTTTGCTTCCAAGAACTAAATAACCAAAAACAAAGAAACAAACCAACATCAAAAGCAATTAAATAATTCCAGGAAAAAAAATATTAATGCCCAATACTCACAAAATCGAAAGCAAGTTGTGTGTACCTTGATCATTTCAGCAGTTATCAATCCAAAATTAGCAGCCCCGTCTTTCCTCGCTTGGCGAAGTTTTTGCAAATCCTGAAGCCACCTAGCAATTTTCCCCCTTGCAGTGCCAACAGAAGTCCTATACCCAAGACTAGAACTTTCAAGCCCAGATAAAGGCTCAGGAAACTCATGTTTCAGTGACATAAGTTTTTGCCGGATTTTTTTAATCCTTCGCTTTAGAGATTGCTGCAATGATTCGCGGGTTAAAACACCAGGTGTTCCTGATCCATAGTTACCATCATTGGCCACATTATCGTCTCCATTACTAGACAGAGTCGATCTACTCTGGGGTTGGCCATCTTTACCCACCACTCGTCGAAATAAAGGTGAATATTGATCCCTAAAATCCATTGAAGCCTTTTCCCGAATCTGTTCTAGATAGAATTTCCGTCGTTGCTCGCTTTCACTGAGTCTTTCAGCTAATTTTTGAGCCAAGAGTTCAGCTTCCTCTTGCTGAGCTTTGGCTCGAATTTCCTTCCTTCGCATTTGTTCCATAGCCTTAGCTTCGCGTGCTGCACTCGACGCTTTTCTTTCTTCTTCTCTTCTGACTTGAGCCTCTTCCTTCCTTCGCTGAGTCTCTGCAAGTCTCTGCAATTTCTCGGCTTCAATAATCTTTTTACGCTCCAAAACAGCTTCTTCTCGAGCCATGTCCTCCTTTTGTTTAATTTTTATCACTTGAAGCTTCTCCGCTCTCCTCAACTCGGAATCCTGAAGTTTTTTGCGCAAAATAAGTTTTTTATTCTCTTCATTAAGTGAGGTAATAAACCGCACCTCATTAACCTTGCTGCTCTCATCACCGGCTCTTCTCACAACCTGGGCTAAATAAGCTTCGTGCCTAGACTCACTTTTCTGGTGGCGGGCAAACATTGATTCTCGCAGCTTATTGCTTCGAATGGTTTGCCATTCATTAACACGGTTCAGTTTTTCTGATGTCTTTTGAAGCTTCTGAACCCTCTCATGCTCGAGCTGAGACCTGATTCTAGTGGCCCGGGCATGTTTCTCTTCGGCATCTTTCTTAAGATCGAGTGCTGATTTTTTCTTTTTCTCAGGAGACATAAGTTTGTCGTGCAAAACACGAACTCGCTCAGCACTTTTCCTGCTCATGCCCGGTGAATAAGAGAAACGAGAAGATAAACGATGAGAAGATGCAAGAATGTCTTCCCAATTCCTTTTCTCTTTCCAAGCATCCATCGACTTTGATGAACTTCCATTTCTTTTTTCTCTTTCTCTCTCATGGAATGGAATCTGCCTTCTCAAAGGATCAGCTGACCTTGGATTTCTCTCAACAGTTTGGTCCACTAAGGTTTTGTTTTTCTTCTCATGCAGTTCATGATTGTTCTTTCGACTTGAACAAGCAACAGTAGCTGATCTCCCCGAGTCAGAGTTTCTCTTTTCTTTAGTTGTGGACTGAGATATGTTTGAGGCTCCTGTCTGACTTGACTGTTTTACTGTCAGTTCTTCAGAATTGCCCACTAAATCATATTTATTAGCAAACTTACCTATGTTCGACATATCTGTTGTTCCAAAATTGGAATATGAAGCCACCAAATTCTTAGAACTGTTGGCACATTCACTATTTCTCACTTGTTGTATTTTCCTAAAAGCTTCAAGAGATGAAGACAAAATCTCTGCCCTGCGTGGTGAAGTTGTCATTCGGCGGACCTACGCTAACAGTAAAAAGTGGGATCTTAAAACAATTAATGATTGACACTTAGATGTTGATGCCTAATTAACTGTAATTTTGCGAAAGAAAAAGGGAAACTCATGAAATGTAACTGTGAAATGCACAACCATTGCTATTCATGTCTACGTGTGAGTTCATATATTTTAAACACTTCTTTCAGAAATCATAATTCAAGTCAAACAAATATGTCAAATAAAACCTTCACATCAACATCAACATCAACATACCCAGTATATTCCCAACAGGTTGGGGTCTGGGGGGTCAGTTGTACGCAGACCTTACCCTTGTAATTATACAAGGAGGCTGTTTCCATAGCGACCCAAGGTGCGTTGCGTCGTTCGATATATTTTTTTTTTTCTAAAAACTTCACTAATAGAAGAAGCACTAGAATTTAATTGAGCCATTTTGATCTAGTCCATTATTAGCACTATGCCAGGAGAAATGTCAACGACTCTTCCAGCTTCATATGCAATGGACAAGTCAAATAAAACCTTCAACACTCGAAATTACGATAATATACGTAAGGTTGAATAAGTAAAGGATAGTTGCAAAATGAGTATCATCAAATGGCAAAAAAAAAAA